AGAAACCGGGGGAAGAACCTGCAGAGCTGGTGCCTCCTTTGGGCCTCGTGTGGAAGGAGCAGCCCTCGGGCAGGGGCTTTAATTTGTGTTTTTACTATATGCAGTAACGTGCCTGAGCGCGCAGGCGTCAGCGGGATGTTTCTGCGATGCCAGTCGCTTCCTTGTCTTGCTCTCTACCCGCCCTTTTAATGCAGGGATGGAGCTGCTTCGCTCCCTCCCGCAGCCTGACACCCAGTCCCAGGGGTGCTGAGGGTACCAACTCTCTGGGCGTCAGGTCGTCTTTAACGCCCTTTCCTTGTCCTTGCCTTGCCCTTTGCTCTGTAAACCATTTTCCCAGCACCTGCCTGCAAGGCAATATGTATTACAAGGTGTGAAGAGAGCATGGCGATTACCGAGCGCTGTAGGCTAATACTTTCTCCCCTAGTTCGGATTCCCCTTTGGAGACGATAGCCTCGTGTCCTTCCGCGTGGTGGGATGCCTGCCCGGCAAGGCGCGTGAACTTTGGGGTCTTGCCGTTTTATTTGTAGATGTGACATCATGGCTTTTTCCATGGCAACTCACCGTGCTGCCCGGGAGGATGCTGAACGCAAGAGCAGAGCGCAAGGTTTTCAGCTGGAGCTGAGCAAGCAGCCACAGGCAAGTCCAATACATTAATTAATGAATTGAGGGAAAAAATAAAAGGGAACAAGGGGTAGACAGGGTATCCCAGAGGCTGATAAGCACTTTGCCTGCATAAAGAGAGCCTGAGCTAAGATGTTTGTGCTTCCCATTTTAATGTTTTCTTGCCGAGAGTCGCTCCTTCTGTAAAGACAGGTAAAGAAATGGGCCTCTCCCCATTTCAGAGGTGGGAAAACTGAGGCATAAGAAACAAGGGAAATTGCGCAGGGTTACGCTGTGTTAGCTGGAGGGAGATCCGAGACCTTTCAGAGCCCTGATTTCTCCTCCTCTGTGTTGGCTGTGATAATCGCTTGGGTTTTTCAAAGCTCTGGGGACGGCCAGGGAGAAGTGGTAGCGCTGCCGGCGGTGGGCGTTTCTGCGTGGCGTGTTCTCATGTCCATCGCGAACGGATGGAGAAGCGGTGGTTTCCTGGAGGATGTGCTGAGCTGCTCGAACTGGGCCCTGAATTTTGCTAGGGACACTGCTGTAATATAATTAAATATCTATTATTTTAAATATTCAGATTAATATTCAATAAATGATTATCCCCCTCCTCAGCTGACTTTGGTCATGCCAGCACTAGAGATCTAGGGAGGGCAGGTGTGGCATCGTAGAATTTCATTTCAATTAACTGTGGTCCTTACTCATCCTTACAGGTTAGAGGCTCCTTGTCCATGCTCTTACCTGCTCAGAGGGAGGAGGCAATCCCTATTTATCACCGTGTTATCCCTTCTTATCACCACCATCTCCTGGCAGGGTGATTCCTCCCCCCCCACCCCGCATTTACATACAGAGCAGCACATGGAGATCCAGAAGTGCTCATTGCTCTCCATCTGGCAGATTGGGTTTAGGTGGGAGGTTTTTTTTCCTGCTTTTTTTTGCTTTCCCAGGCCTCCCAGCGCCTTGACGCAGGCTGCATTCAGAGTGTGCAAACATTAGAGAGCCCCGGTGCGCAGTCATGTAACATTGAAGCATGAGTGAACTGAATAATGAGTGGGCCGGGAGCCAGGAAAGCCTGCGTGGTGCTTCACCGCTCGCTCCCTGGACGCCCTTGAGCTGGTCACATAACTTAGCAGAGCTGCTCCGTTCCCATTCATGAAACGGGCCTGGAAATACCCCTCCTCTGCCCATGTCGTGACTTCTAGACATGCTGCCTGCTGCCAGCTGTTGACTGACCCTGGTTCGATAAGCTGCAGGCTAAGACGGTGCATTTCTGATGAAACCAAATTCTACTTTTTGCTCGTTCTCCCCCAAAAATCTGTATTTCATTCATGCTCTTGCTGCATTGTCTGATAACTCAACCATAACTCCCTGGGACAAAGCTGCCAGTATAGGGCCCTTATCGCTGGTGAGATTTCCTAGTCATTGCCAGTCCGGAAAGGATTAGGGAGTAATAAATGCTGGCCGAAGGACCGTGTGAGCTACTTTTGCCTGTGGCAGCGCTTTTGAACGTTATGGTGCTGCCTTTGATGATGCTAAGTCTCACCTTCAGCGTTAAATATTTGTTCCCCGTAAAAGAACGTTTCCCCCTATATCAGAAACCCAACCTTCTTTATGCATTTTATGTGTAAGGAAAACCAGCCAGCTGCATAGGAAAATGCAGCTGGGTCGCTGAGCATTAGCCCGCCAGCTTGCATCCAGCACGGCTCGTCCTCGTCAAGGAATTGCAGAGGGGAACCGTGCTCTGTGCAGCAGGTACCAGCCTTCCTCTGCCTGGGTCGCAGACAGGTCCCGCTCTGGTGTGTCGTGCGCGTTTCTCGGTGCTTCGCTCAAAGCTCGAGTTAGTTTTGGAGACTCTGCTCTCCAAGCTGATCAAGGCCCAGTAGGGTGGTCCCAGCCTCAGGTTTCTTCAAGTTTTTTTGGGACATTTGCAGGAGCCATTCTCTTCATCACAGCCCTTTCCAGTCCCTGCAAAAGGCTCTTTTCTTTGCCCTGGCCCTGGGGCAGCACAGATAATACTTCTGCAGCAGATTCGGCGTCCTTCCCAGCTCCACGTTCCCCTTGTGTCTGGCAGATTTCACTGTTTCTGTTCTCCCAAGGTCTTACACCTGCCCCAGCCTCCATGCTAGATCCCGTTCTGTTTTATAAATAAATGTGCCTCAGCTACTAGACTTGTTGGGATGAATCCCAGGATTTTTGCTGGCATATGTTATTTTCTTCGTTTGAGCCAAAAGCCATAGTAAGCAAACGTTTAACAAGCGTTGGAAACGCAGAAGGTGGGCTTTTTCCAGGGTTTGCTTATTTGTCTAGTAAGAACTATACATTCTCGAGCTTCAGGGCATAAGGCAGCCTCAAAGGGACAAAGGTAGGGAGAAGACTCTAGACCAGGTGTCTGTTTGCCTTTAGTGAATGTTGCAGAGTTTCTTGCAGTTTCTCCTGAAGTATATCCTAGGTAAAGCCACGGCAGTGCATTCGCTACACTATAGATCCCATGCATCCTGCTCACTCCAGCTTTCCTGCAACACGGACGTGAGCAGAAAGCTCTGGATTCATCTCAGCACAGCGGGACAAAGAGACGTGAGGATCACTGGGCCAGAGCGTGGCCCAGCGGACGCGTCTAAGGGCTCCGTTTGCTATTGGTGTGATTGCCCTGCCAAGGATGGGTCTGCAGTAGGACAGCTAAACCAGACAGATTTGCTGGCAAATCTGTGTTTCGGTGTAGTATGAGGGTGGGGAGGGGGAAACCTCTGTCCTTGTGCTTATTGTTGCTGCAGTTGAGAGCTTTCACTCTCCAGGGAAAGCGATATTCTCGGTGCTAGCGGACTGCTCGTCGGCAGCAGCGCTGCTAGCACCAAGTTCGGGTAGCAGCGAGGGGAGACGTGGCCTAGGACTCCAGAGGAGGCCAGTGTTGACTGCTGGCACGTCCTGCTCCGGAGGGCTCCGGCCTCTCTCCTTTTGAAAAGGACGAGGGGAAAGCCAAAGTGAAACACAATGAAGGAAAGGAGGACTCTCCCCCTGCCAGCAACCGCTGTGCAGAAATCTCACCCGAGGGAGGGAAGTTGCAGCGGTCCGTAGTTGCTAGTTGGGATGCTGGCTTGCGTTGCAATTTCTCTTTTAACTTGACCCTCTCAAGGGCGATGCCCCTCGCCCTCTCCAGGAGGGCTTCGCGGCCCTGGCAGCCCCCCCCGGGCGGCGCCGCTCCCCTGCTCCCTGCGGCAGAGCCGGGAGCAGGAGGGGGCCGAGGGGAGGAGAAGCCAGCCTGTGCAGGCTGCGAGCGGGGTGATTGTCATGGTTACCTCCCTGACAAAACAAATGGCTCCACTTAATGATGGTCACCCAAACAGCTTTGGGAAGTGTGTGTTAAATCAGCTGGGTCCTCGCTGGGGGAAGCAGCAGCCTTCCCTGGCTCCCAGACAGCTCGGGAGGGGACACGGGCAGCGCTCGGCCGCCCAGACAACTGTTGCTGCAGCCCGCTGGGAAAAAAGCGCGGCCGCCCAGACACATGTTGCTGCAGCCGGCTGGGTAAGCCCCCTTCCCCACGCCAGCCCCCGGGGACCCTCCGCAAGCCCCCGGCGGAGAGGGCTGCAGAGGGGGGCCAATGCCACAGGTTGCCGAGGTGGCGGCTGTGCAGAGCTCCCCCCCCACGCCGAGCCCTGGCACGCTCGCTCTCCCTCGCGCTCTCTCTCTCTCCTTATCTCCGTCTCTCCGTGTCTTTCAGAGACAAAAGCAGTCTGAAGCGGTGCCTGCTGCCTCCAGGATTTCTTCTGCCTTCCTGCCCCCCCAAGCCCCGCCGCTAGCAGTTGCAGGAGCTGGCAGGAGAGGGGGAAGTTGCTCCAATTCCCCCACC